ATAATATAGAATCAGATTTCTTTTTTTGAAAGTAGGTTTTTATTGACTTCAGAGAGAGGAAGGGGGAGAGAAAGAGAGAGAGAAACATCCATGAGAAACATCAGTTGGCTGCCTCCTGCGTGCTTCCTGCTGGGGAACCTGCAACCTGGCACCTGCCCCGAAGGGGAATGGCATCCTGACTTCCTGGTTCATGGGACAATGATCAACCACTGAGCCACGGGCCGGGCTCAAGATTTCTTTTAAAATTTTTGCTACAAAATAACGGTTTGAACTCCCTAGCAGACAGACAGACAGACACACACACACACACACACACACACACACAGGACGCCTGCTCTGAGCCTCTGCTGCCAGACTGTGGCCATCAGTAGGACATCCACTGAGGGCTCCCGGACTGTGAGAGGGGCAGGCTGGGCAGAGGGAACCCCACCCCCCAGTGCATGAATTTCGTGGACCGGGCCTCTAGTTAAAAAATAAAGCTCAATTTTTGTCAAACAGAGCTTTTAGAATCTCACTTCTCAGGGATCCTGCAAGGATTAATGAAATGGTTTTGAGTGAGCAAACCAGCCGTGGGCAAACTATGGCCTGCGGGCCGGATCCGGCCTGTTCGGCTGTTCTATCCGGCCCACGGAGCCGAAAGAGCTAAGGGTTCTCTTGCTCTCCCCTCCGCTCTTTCACCAGCAGCAGTGTTAACATGACAACGTCGGGAAACACGGCCAGCAGCTCCAGTTAACATGGCAATGTCGGGAAACACGGCCGGCAGCTCCTTCTTCTTAGTCCTGTTTAAGAACCCATTGTGGCCCTCGAGTCAAAAAGTTTGCCCACCCCTGAACCAAACCATTGTAAATAATGTTGCCTTTGAAGAATATATTAATGTTATTTCATAATTGATGAAGATACAAGGTGTTAAATAGTTCATTTGATTAGAACTATAGATGACAATACTAAGGTGATCATGGGCCGAGATTGGATTTCTATCCCAGACATGCTTTCCCTTTTGCACAGAGAGCACGTTCTCTTCCAATGGCGGACACCTTGGCCTCAATCAGCCACCTCTCACTGCTGAGGCTGACGCCGCCCTTTGCTAATGCATAAATAATGCATACTTCTTGGCCCACGGATGTGGGCGGAGAGGCTGCCTTTGTATGTAAAAGCATATTATTATAGGCTGCAAGTCTTGAAAGACTAAACAGGTCTTTGGCAACATCTAGTTCCAATTTCTTCACCTAAAGTTGAGAAAGTTAAGTCCAGAGAATAAGTGGTTTGCCCAAACTCACCCAATTAGTACACAGAGTCAGGGCTAAAATCGGGATTTATTGAAAAATCCAATGTTTTCACCACGGTATTGTGCCATATCCGTTCTGGTCTCGGATTCCCTCCTAATACTTGGAGTGTTCGCACTAAACACAAGTCCCTAGTGAGCCAGTACCCAGTAAAGTGCAGTACAAGCTTTGGTACCTCCTGGTGTTAGACTAGAGACTTTTGGTGGTTTGTTGTGACTCCCAAGAGTGCCACACTTCTCTGGGCAGACAGCTGAAAAGCAACACGTCAGTCTGCCACGTCTGCAGGTAATCGGGCAGCTGTGTGGGAGCCTGCAGGGCAAACGTGAACAGCATTCTGGAGACCAAGTCAAGCCAGGTGCTCTGATTACAACAAACGATAATGGCTGCCCATCGTAATTAGACGACAGGGTTTCTGCCGGTGGATGGTCCAGTTGCTGCATTCGCTGATGCGGTCCATCAGTCATGTTCAATTACTCAGCCGCATCCATTCGAGGACCTGCTACCCGCAGAATGTGGGCAGAAGTTTGGCCGTGAGGTGTCGTTTCCCCAGATGCAGTTTATGAGGGGGACATTCCCCAGGCTGGACTCACTGGGGGCAGCCAGCAAGGTGTCCTTTTCAGGAGGGCCCTTGGATCTGTGACTTTTTATCATCATTTTCAAGAGGAAATACAAGATTAGTCTCCATGGCCCTTTTTGGCCCTGGAATTTTCCTTTTAGATAATATAATATATATTTTTTCAGACCATAAAAAGAATGCATGTTTATTCTGGAAAGTGAAGAAAATTACAAAAAAATAAAAATAAAGAGCACTCATTTTCAATGCAATGATAGCTATTTTCAACTTTTTAATTCAAAAAATTTTCCAGCCTGTTTCCCAGGCATATATAATATATATGTATTTATTGTTATGGAATTGAGCCCTACTGAATCCAACGCTGGAATTCTAGGAGTCTACAAAATATGCACAGTAAGTTCCTTGCTCAAAGCCTGGCATGTATTAGTTGCTCAATTAACTATAAACATTTGTTCACGGATGGAGAGAGAGCCATGGTTCCTGGACTTGAGCAGTCTCATTGTAAGATCGCACACTCAGGCCATGCCCAGATCTTGCAACCTTTGCATGTGAAAGAAACATAATAAACTGGAAACATATTCCTTTCCTTCCATAAAGCCTCCCCTTCTCAAGAGAGCATCAGCAGTAATTCATCTCCATTTTTGTGCTCATTTTTTATTTTAGGAGGCGTCATTGGATGTGACAGCTGCACGTGTAAGAGACTTTCCGGAAGCATGGACCTCAGTGAAACATGGCCTTTGGAGGAAGGAACCTGGTTGTCTCATGCTGGAATTCATCATTTTGCCAACACCAGAGGAGGTACGGCTGCTTTTGGAGACCCTAATACACGTGGTACCCTTCAACTCCCGAACTCATTGTATCAACCCAGCTGTGCTCAGTAGGTGCCCAGTGCCATCGGTCATTTCAAAAGCAGTCGGTAGAGAGGAGGGGCCTGGACTTTGGAGTCAGCAGACCTGGGTTCAGATCCTAAATATTCTATTTACAAGCGATGTGGCCTTGAGAAAAATCTATCGTGTCCTCAGCTCTAACATGAGCGTAAGAGTGCCTGCTTCGTAGGCCTGTGATAGGACCGTGAGTAATGTAAGCTGTCATTTGCTGAGCCCTAGCCAGGTGGGAAGTTACTCACATATCTTTGAGCTCCTAATCCGTGTCAGGTATTGTGTTCCTGCTTGTCTCTTCTCCCCTCGCCTCCTCTCCTCTCTTCTCCCCAGCCCTGCAAGGATTGGGGTTGAGGACAATGCAACCAGCATAAACAGAGTAGGTCAGCTCACCTTCCCTTCTTTTTCTTTGTCCTCGCATCTGACTAATGCAACTCGCCATTAAATGATGGGGCTGTTGTTACTGTACTGGACTGCAGCATAAATGTGAGACCCATACCCTGACACAGAGCTGTGGTCCTCGGTCACGTCTAAGAGTTCAACCTTCTCCCTTCCCCCAAATTATTGGAGATCGACTTTGGTGGTAGGAGCCAGTCTATGGATGGAGAGATCAAAGCCCACTGAGGTTAACACAGTCACATGATGTTTTTAATAAGGATATGCCTTCCATTTATTTGTTTATCCATTTGCTCAATAAATATTGAGTTTCTACTATGTGCCAAGCACTGGGAATACAAGAGAGACAGGATGAGGTAGACATAGAGATCACCAGACTACTCTCTCTGCTGTGCCCCATTCTCAGCAATGAGCACTTACTGAGCTTCTGTACTGCACTTGCCACTGCACCTTTCTACCAAGACTACTCCACTCAACGGGAGAGTCCCCCTGAGACAATCAGCCTGTGATGATGGAGGCGTCCAAGGCAGAGTAGGTAGCATTGCTGCGTGTGGGTGGAGCACAGTAACAAGGAATCAGTGTGGCTGACATTTGAAAATTCCTGTGGGCAGTTGGTGTTAGGTGGTTCTCAGAGGCTTAGGCTGGGGTCCAGGGTAAGGGCTCAGGTCCTAAAGGACTAGGCAGAGGGCCCAAATGGGAGCCTAGCGAAAAGCTGAAGCGAGATAAGGAAGCTCACACTCAGGAACAAAGTGGAAACCCCACTGTGCCAGACCCACGTCAGAATCAGGCGAACTACAAAAACCATGGTAATCATTTGTTTGGTAGATACATTATACCAGACAAAATGCTAAGCTTTTTTGGTACAGAAACAGACTTTCTCAACTCATTCTCACAACAACCTTATTCTCATTTTATTAATGAAAAAAACTGAGCCAGAGGAGGCTGAGAAACTTGTGCAAGGTCATTCGGCTGGAAAATGGCAGAGTGGGGGGTTCAAACCTAGATCTGCCTAACCCCAAGTTACTGTAGGCTTTTGCCCCTCAACTCACTCTCCAACACTCCCTACTCTGCCTTCTCGGTTTCAGGCTCCGGTGGTCCTTGTTACAGATTCTTCCTTTATTGCCACAGTAGAAAAGAGAACTAGCTCTGAGCAAGGTTGGGAAAGAAACATGTTGTGACAATTATCATCCAAGAACCTCCTATGGCCGCCTCAGCTGATGCAGTGCCAAGGCCTGACCTACCTGCTCCAGAGCAGCTTTCCTCCACACCCCACACCCTGTCCCTCCTCTCCCACTCCTGGGCAGTGCCAGCTGCTCCATCTGTGAGGCCCCATGTGGGCTGATGGGGTTGACATTTCTAGTGAAGTCCTAGGGAAAGTCCTGGAAGAATCCAGGCCTTGGGGTTTTTCTTGGCTTCATGGAGTCCTCCAAGGACCGTGTTGTCTGCCCGGGAGGCCCAGTCATCCTGGTGAGTCACAGGCCTTGAGCTGGACCAGATCCTTGCAACATCTGCTTTCGTATTATCCTCAGAGCATCCCTGGCTGCCAGGAAGGTGGGACAGCCTCCAGGAAACTACCTGGGGAGAATCCAGAAGGTCTGGGGGTGATCCGTAGTTTCTGGAGGAAAGTCCCCCTGCCACTCCTGCCTCCTTCATGCCTAAAAATACCCTCCAGGACTTGGGCCAGGCACTTTGCAAACTTATTTTAAAGGTCTGGAAGACATTTCCCAAATGAAATCGTATGCAGTGCCTGACACACAAAACAGAAGGGGGGCCGTGTTGGGCCAGACTGATTGATTGTCGCATTACAAGCTGCTGTGGCTGTTGCTCTGATTTGCCAGCTGCCACACCACAGTGTGGGGATTGGTGCAGGTGGGGAGGCCTCCGCAGCCCTTTTCGATGAATCTATGAAACACCTTTCCTATTATAGATATGCTTGGCTGTTT